TGCAACAACATCGATGACCCTGGAAGACATTATGCTCAATGAAATAAGCCAGACACAGAAAGCAAATACTGTATGATCTTACTTATGTGTAGAATCTAAAAAAGTCAAACTCAGAACCAGAGAGTAGAGCAGTGGTTCCCAGGGATCAGAGATGGGGAGACATTAGTCAAAAGGTATAAACTTCCAGTTATAAGATAAATAAGTTCTGGATATCTAATGCAGAGCATGGTGACTTTAGTCAATAACAGTGTACTGTATACTTAAAATGTGCTAATAGAATAGATCATAAGTGATCTCACCGCACCAAAAAAAAAAAAAAAAGGAAGTTGTGAGTTGACAGATGTCTTAATGGTTTCATTGTGGTATGGTAATCATGTCACAGTGTATCCATATATCGAAACCTCATATTGTATACCTTAAATATATACAATTTTTATCTGTCAATTAAACCCTAATAAAGCTAGGGAAGGGAGGCACATACATACATACATAGCTAGCTTTCTTTCAAAAAGAAGTAAAATATTCAAGAATAAATTTAATCACAAAAAAAAATTACACTGAAAACTACAAAACATTATTGAAAGAAATCAGAAAAGACTTAAATAAATTGAAACATATCACATGTTCCTGGTTCAGAAGACTTAAAATTAAGACAGCAATACCTTAGGGCGCCTGGGTGGCTCAGTCAGTTGAGCGTCTGACTTCGGCTCAGGTCATGATCTCACAGTTTGTGAGTTCGAGCCCCACGTCAGGCTCTGTGCTGACAGCTCGGAGCCTAGAGCCTGCTTTGGATTCTGTGTCTCCCTCGCTCTCTGCCCCTCCCCTGCTTACGCTCTGTCTCCCTCTCTCAAAAATAAACACTGGAAAAAAACCACAGCAATACTTCCCAAATTGATCTATAGCTTCAGTATGATCCCTATCAAAATCACACCTTGCTTTTTTTCTTTTTTTGCAGAAATTGAGACGTTGATCCTATAATTCATAAGAAAACGCAATGGACATAAAATAGCCTAAACATTCTTGAAAAATAAAGAACAAGGGTGAATTCGCACTTCCCAACTTCAAAACTTACTATAAAGTCACAGTAATCAAGACAGTATGGCACCGACATATGATACACATATTGGTCACTGGTACAAAAGTGAAAGTCCAGAAATAAATCCCTACACTTATGCCGAATTAATTTTTTTTACTAACGTATATAAAGTCAATTCAATGAAGAATCATGTTTTCAACAAATGATGCCACAACTGGATATTCACGCGCAAAAGAATGAATTTGGATCCCTAAGCCACATCATGCATAAAAATTGACAAAATGGATCATAGATCTAAATGCAGAACTAAAAGTATAAAATTCTATGACAGGAACACAGGAATAAATTTTTGTAACCTTAATAGAGGCACAAGTCTCCTAGATGTGGTACTAACATCACAAGCAACAAAAGAAAAAATATGTATATAAATTGGGCTTACTCAAAATTAAAACCTTTTCTGCTTCAAATAGAACCACCAAAAAAGTGAAAAGACAATCCACAGATGCAACAAGACATGTGCAAATAATATAGTCGACAAGGGACTTCTTTCCAGTATGCATGAACACTTGTGACTCAATAAACTAATTTGATAATGGGTCAAAGATCTGAATATACATTTCTTTAAAAGAGACATACAAATGGGCAACAAGTGTTGCTCAACATCATTAGCCATTAGGGAAGTCCAAATAAAAACCACAGTGAGATATCACTTCAGAGAATACAATCTGTTGAAGAGTACGTGGAGAAAATGAAACCTTACAGACTGCTTATCGGTAAGCAATATGGTTACAGATGGTAGATGGTGCAGCCACTTTAGAAAGCAATCTGCATTTCCTCAAAATTAAGTTACCATATGATCCACCAATTTTACTCCGAGTTATCTCCCAAGAGAAATAAAAAGATATGTCGACACAAAAAGTTTATCCACGATGCATAGCATCACTATTCACAATAGCCCAAAGTGGAAACAACTCAAATTTCCATCATCTGATGAATGGATAAACACAATATGGCATATCCATAAAATGGAAGATTATTCGGCAATAAAAAGGAATAAAGTACTGATGCAGGCTGCAACAAGAATGGCTGTGAACATTGGAGGTTTTTACGGTAAGCAATTAATAGGAGGACACCAGCTCCTTTTAAGCGAAAACAGTCACAAAAGGTGTGTATTGTATGATTCTATTCATATGAAATGCCGGAATAAGCAAATCTATGGACAGAAAGTAGATTAGTGTTTTTGCCCTGGCTGGAAAGATGAGGGGGGGTAATGGGAAGTGACTGCTAATTAGGTGACAGAAATGTCCTAAAATTGATTGTAGTGATGGTCTCACAACTCCCTGGATATTTAAACACCATTAAATTGTATACTTTAAATAAGCAAATCGTAGGGGCGCCCGGGTGGCTCAGTCGGTTGAGCGTCCGACTTCGGCTCAGGTCATGATCTCGCAGTTTGTGAGTTCGGGCCCCGCATCAGGCTCTGTGCTGACAGCTCAGAGCCTGGAGCCTGCTTCAGATCCTGTGTCTCCCTCTCTCTCTCTGCCCCTTCCCAGCTCATGCTCTGTCTCTGTCTCTCAAAAATGAATAAACGTTAAAAAAAATTTAAATGACCAAATTGTATAGTATACTAATTGCATCTCAGTAATGCCACAGGGAAATAACTCTGGCCAGAGAATTGGAGGGAGGGGGCAGTTAGGCTACACGTTGTTATAATCTGCGTAGGAGACACTGAAAGCCTAAACTGAGGCAGAGACAGTAAAGACAAGATGTAGGAATATTTTGGAAACTACCCCACGATGGCAAAGTTTCCATGAAACCACCATTCCATGTTTTGCATGACAGTAAATGGCATGAGTATCAATTTCTCTAGTCCATGGGAAGGAAAGTAGCTTCATAACATGTTACAAACGTCTCAGAATGTTCATATAGTTTGGTCCATTTCTAAATCCCTATCTTAAGAAAAACTTTTTAAAATGTTTTAAGCACCAAATATGTACTATAGCAATTAACGAGGGAAATCAGCCTAAATGCTCAATAATAGCAGACTAATGAAAAGAAATAGTGGTATATAATTATTATGCAGTCATTAAAATATTTAAGAAGTGCAATTACATAGGAAAATACATGCTGTAATATTAAGGAAAATCCAAATATGACTAATTACACACAATGGTGTGGTCCTGGTGGTGCAAAAATGTGCAATGTAATGAATATTTACTACTTTTTCCACACATTATGAATTTTGTTTCTATATCAATCTTTTCTCTGATTTCTACCACATATTACTTCTGTCCGAAAGAAGTATACTGTATGTACTTTTCAAAGAAAAACAACAGCCATTTTGTTCTTAGATTTGAAGTGCGATTCCACGGCCATCCTTCCCACCGTGCCCAGGGTTTGCTGGAGCCCGTCTCTTGCCTGGCAGGGGTTGGATCCCACTTCTATCCCAGGGCTATTTCCATCTACTCATCTCAGCTGCGCCCATTCTTTCACGTCCTACTATTCGATTCCCAGAGAATCCCTCCAGTGCCTTTCCATGAATAGAGCCAGTTCCACTGAAATGTGCCCTCCTGTAGAAAGTGGACTGGCAGGTACCCTGCCTCTGCTCAGAGTGGCGATCCTGCCAGGCAGAGGAGGAAGCAGGATTTGCCACCAGGTGGAGCCCGGGTCCCCAGAACTGGGGAGCCTGCCTCTTTGCACGTCCCCGACAGAAAGCACAAAGCAGGGGACTTGACACACCCACCACCTCACATGGAATGAACTTCTATTTTAATCTGGTTCAGCTCATTACTGAATGTGTAGCACGGGCAGGTTCAGTTCTGAAGTTGGCGGAGCGGGGGTCGTGGGGGGGGGATAGAATGAGATGTGGGGGAGGTGCAGGCGAATGCAGAAGACCTATAAGATCAGGTCTCAGCAGTAGGAAAGCTGACCACCCATGGGAAGCTTCCCTCGAGAACACAAAGCCTTCTAATCACATCTCTTTCAGGCCTCTGCTCACCGCCAGTTAGAAAGTCGACCAATTTACTCCGCTCAGCAGCCCGCTCCCCAGGTGCCGGCCCTCACGCCTGGAACATTCTTGCTGTGGAGTCCACATCTTTCTCCCTAGGACTCCCAGTCAGTGGTCCACACCTATGAGCCATCTCCAAACAAGCCTAACTCCTTCCCCACCATACCCCAGCCTCCCGGCCCCCAAACCTCTTCCCAAGACCTCCTCCAGACAACACCCAGGTGTTCAGATTTGCGTTTTCTTGTCCTAGCCTCCCTCTCTCTGCCCTGCTTCCCTCTGTACACGGACAACTCTGGGCCTGAGAGCGGCTGGCATCTGACTCACCTCGGTGCCCACCTGCACCTTGCCCGGAGTGACATTCAGCCAAGACCGTGGAGGAAGCCACAGCTGACTGAAGTCTCTGCGTTCCAGATTCCACTCTCAGTATCAGCTCAGGTGGGGCTTCCTCCAGGAAGCCTGCCTGACTCCCCAGGTGAGTCCCGCTTCCCGGTGTAGATTCCCAGAGCACCTCTGGTCTAAGAAACCACGGAATACGGGTAATCGCCCGAGCCACATTGGGAACTTGGTGAGAGCAGGGACTGTAAGTCTCCTCTTCTGGGGGTCCCGGGAGCCCAACCCTAGGGCCTTCCGGGAGCCTGGCGCGGAGGCAAGCTGAGGCAGGAAGGAAGGGTGAAGGGTGAAAACAGGGAATAGGAGACTGAGTGAGTGCATGCACCGATGCCTGGGTGAGGGGATGGCAGCTGAGGTTGCCCGGGGCCCCAGACTGCTAAAACGGGCACCAAACCAACGGGGTGCGAAAGCAGGAATGCGCGACCCCTACCGTGTCCGCGGCGGGTCCCCAGGCGCAGAGCGTCAGGGGCGGGGCGGAGTGGGGGCGGGGCCGGGGGGGGGGTCGGCGCATGCAGGGGGGCGGGGCCGGGCGGGGGAAGAGGCTGCTGCGCGGGTCCCGGCGAGGTGCCGACGCGCGTGGACCGCGGCACCCCGGCTCTTGGCGCTCGCGGCCCTCCGCCATGCCCTCCTACACGGTCACCGTGGCCACCGGCAGCCAGTGGTTCGCTGGCACCGACGACTACATCTACCTCAGCCTCGTGGGCTCCGCGGGCTGCAGCGAGAAGCACCTGCTGGACAAGCCCTTCTACAACGACTTCGAGCGCGGCGCGGTGAGGAAGCGCGGCTGGGACCGGGCTGGGGACACTCCGGACCCGTCGGGGGGTGGGGGGTCGTGACCGAGGCAGGGGGCGGGGGAGGGCGCCCGAGACCCGTTGGGGCGGTAGGGCCCGGGCTTGGGGAGTGTCCAGGGCCCCGTCGGGATGGCTGGGACCCAAGTTCGGGGTGGGAGGCTTTGCAGAGTGAGGTCTGTAGGGCGCCGCGCTTCTCCCCTGGGAGCAGGAGAAGGTGCAAGGTCTGCTCTCCATTTCACAAATAGGTACCCCGAGGCTCTGAGAGGTCCCTAACTGGGCAAGTCCTGTGGGCAGCATTACTTGTGCCCCACTTCGTAGGGCTCCTTCCACAGGTCGTGGGGTGGGGTTGGAGAGTCGTGCGGGTCCTTGCCCGGCTGTGACGCCCAGATGGCACCTCGGAGCAGCCTCAAGCTGTGGTGAGAAAGCACAGGTCTGGGGGTTCAGAGGCTGGGTTGAATCTGACTGCTAGTTCACTCTGCCCCCTCACTGGGCCTCAGTTTCCCCAAATGTCAAATGGAAGGGATGACTTCAGGCTGGTCTAGGAATCTGGGTGAACCCAAGCCCAGCTGGTGGCCCAGAGTGATACTAGCAGCTGTCTTCACACCTGGGTAGCTCACATCCTCAGGACAGGTCCCCACAGGAAATCAGAAGGAAGGAACCTGAGAACTTTTGCAACCTGGAGATCGTCTGACTCCCAAAGGAGTATACACTAGGGAACACTTCCACCCCAAGTGTGAGGGCTCAGTGGAGCAGGAAGAGGAAGGAGGGCTTCTCCTCTCCCCTTCTCAGTAGATACCCTGGAGCTGTGGGAGTCCACGGAGCAAAGGGAGCCCTGTGTACTGTACCTTGTGTCTGTGGTACCGAGTGCTATATAAGGCCCCATTTAGAAGCCAGCTCTTGACGCTGACCTGGGCATGAACTGCAGCCCTGTGGCTTTCTCCGTGAGCATGGCAGGTCATGGTCCTTACCGAGCATTTAGTGACTCTCCCAGTCCACTGCCAAGTGCATGGGAAATGTTCACTGTATGATTATTGTGACAGTCCCAACTTGCTGCAAGTAGGTACCCAAGGAATGTTCCCTTCCATCACCCACCAGTTCCTGAACCGGACCAAAAAGATTCAGACTTCACAAAGTTGTCTTTTTCACCACTTAGTTGGTTATTAGGTTGAACCATATGAAAGTGCTCATAGTTGACAATTTTGAATAAACAAAACTGGGAATTTCACATGGTTCAACTAAATACTTCTTGGATAAAATTGATGAGTTCAGTTTTAGGCCTGTAGAGGCTAAAGTAAGTAAATAATATTCCACTCCTTTTCCCAACTCCAAACTCAAAGTGGGCGTGATTCCTATCCAGGAGCCTCAGAACCTTTTCCCTTCAGGAAAAGTGAGGTGTTGAGTATAAAAACAACCATCTATTGTTTGGTTTCCCCCATTAGGGAACTGGCCCTGGGGACAGTGGTACAGGAGGACTAATGAGACATCCATTTGGAAAGATGACAGCTGCCATTTCTGAAGCACCTTCATTTTTAGTTCATGGATTCCCCTAACACCTCAGGGAGGAAGACAGGGGACAGACTACACCCCCCCCCCCTTAATAGGCAGGTCGCAGTGGGCTCCATTGTCTTCTACACACACACACACAGACACACACACACACAGCCCTGCCGCACAGGGCACCCCATATGTGGCTTCTCCCAGGAGGAGACACTGTGGTGTGGCCAGAACAGGGTCATTGGAAGAGGGGTGAAAGCACTGTTCTGTTCATTATCGTCACCTTGGGAATTCATTCAAATGCCTCTATGACTAAACACCTCAGTGAGAGTCCCAGAAGCAAATTTCAGGAGAGGTTTGCGTGTCCCATTTCCATCAGGGTGAGAGAGGGTGAGCTGGGAGGGGCTGCGGTGCTACAGGGGAATCTGCTGGCTCCTAAAGTCTCTTTGAAAAAATCCACTTTTGAGAAAGTTCCTGTTGATGCAAAGTTACTCCACACTTTCTTGCACAGTCCAGAGCTACTTCCTCATTCTCCAGCTAGTGTCTCTTTAAGGACAGGCTGTCCCTATTGGGTAAAGGTAAAAAAGAAACCTTAGAGAAAATACTTGCTGAGAAGAATCGGCCTTCCCATTTTACTTGGAAAAGTGCTCCTATCATTATGGTTAACAACAATAACAACAACAACCATGAAGGCAGTGGATTCAGTCATTTCCAGGTCTTTGGCAGGTGAACTCCCACACTCCTCTATGCACAGTTCAGTCAAATGATAAGACTGATTTTGTTGTCAATAAATTGAGTTGCAGATTCCCAGTTACTCTCATCAGAGTTCTACATACCGATTCAGGTCAGGACTGGGAATTGAAGCCCTCTCCAAAGGGGAGGTTCTCCCGTAAATGGTCACACCCTCAGTGGCTCCCCACTGCCTGCCTGGGAAAGCCCAGACCATGGACCCAAACAGCCCAGAGACTGGCTGCCCCTCCATGTCTCTCTTGTTCTCTGGGGAGCAAATATCTGAGTGAAAATGGGAGGCTCACTTGCAAGTCAGTCTGCACAGATGCACGCCATCCCAGAGCACCTGCCAGTCACTTGGCCAGTCACTGCCAGTCACAGCGATGCCAAGAAAATCAGACAAGCAGTTCCCACTACATTTGTGGCACAGCAGAAGGTTGAGGCTGGTCTTGCTGCTAGAAGGTGCCATTGCAGGCCATGTGCAGACTACCAGCCCGCCAGCTCCCCACGAGCAGCTCAGTGCCGTGTGCTGGCAGGCTCCAGATTCTAGGAGATGGGCAGGCACAGTGGCCGTGCTGGGCAACCCTTCCATGGCTTTTGGGGTGATCTGTGTATCTGTGACCCTGATGACAGAGGGAGAGAAAGGAAGAGGGTTCAAGCGGTGCATTGGGTGTTCTACAGGCCGCAGGTTTGGGAAGCCCTGGAGTCGGTGCCTCCCAAGGTACTTTCTAAGCCAGATTTCACCAATCCTTGAACTTTTCCCTTGATGGAAGAATCTAGAGTTCTCCGTGTGATAGTGAGGTAAATGGAGGGGAAAGGTGTTCATCCTGCATGTGACCCCATGTGTCTCTATTTCCACCCTCCTCCCACCAAACTGCCAGAGGAACCCCAGGAGGACTTCCTAAGAGGAATGGGAAGTTGGATATTTTCAGCAAGCCTCTTGGCTCTGAGCACAGTGAGCAGCTCACATATTGTGGTTACCAAAGATGCCAGACGCTTGTGGTTAGAAAGCAGAAGCCTCCTCCCTGTTCCCTGTGGCTTGGGCCAGGCCTTTGTGCTGGGATGGCACATCTTGATCCCTAAGAGGTGTGCAAGCTCATCTGTGCTGCCACAAGTCACTGTCCTGCAGGTGAAAGAACCCCTCTACCGCACAGTGTGTCTTGTGGGAGAGCAGAATCCACAGGCGGGGTCCCGGAGGGCACTGACTCCCAGGCCTGCCTGAGGTCCGTATTGCAGTGTGCTAATGCCTGCGAAGAAGCCAGGAGGCCCCGGGGTGTAGGGGTGGGAGAGGAGTCCCAGTTAGGGGCTGGATCATCTGAAGAGCTGCGAGGAGAGGAAAGGAAGGGCACAGCTCTTTTGGGGTGACTTCTGGGGGTGGGAGAGAATAGAGACCCCCCTGAGCTGAGGCATGAGTGGGCTAGCAGGAAGGTTCTGGTGGGACAAGAGGCCCAGTGTCCATTTGGAGAAGCAGAGTGGGCACTAAGTGACCCACAACTGGACATCTATAGGGCCCACCCCCCCACTCCAGGCCTCACCTGCCAGGGAGATCGACAGAGACCTCAGCTCTCCCCTGGGGCCAAGACAGAGATTTCCACCAAACACTGGGAGTGGGCAGTGTGGGGCAGAGGGCAAGGCCAGCCTTTGTGACAGGGAAGCTCAGTCAGCCCCAGTCTTGAGGTCATACTCTAGCTCCAAAGTGACTGACCATGGGCCTCAGCAAATTGCTTTACTCCCTGAAGCTCTGTTTCTTCACCCAGCAAGAGGGGATAATGCCTAGCTTGCCGGACCATTGAGAAATCCAAATGAGATGATGCCTGAGGGGCTCCTTTCTCCAAGGGTACAGGCAACTGGCTGCTGTATGCATCAGATCCAACCGGTCCTCCCTCCTGGACTCCTGAGGTCACTGCCTGTGAGCAGGTGTTAGCTAGCATGGGCTCCTTCACTGAGGCCCATCCCTGACTACACACAGCAAATTGAGTAGCCAGGAGTAGATGTGGGAGGAAGAAATTGAGCCCATGAGCTCACACCTCTTGACTCAAAACCAGGAGAGAATTCCTGAGGGTAGAAGAAGGGCCGTGAGGCATTTTTGTTGCTGGCATTGCAGGCCAAGGAAAGGGAAGTCAGCGTGCGGTGAGGCCTGGGCCCGGACAGCTGCTCCAGGGAAGTGGCTTTTCTGTGGCTCCAAGGGACTGGCGGGGACTGACAGTGTCTGTGGTATTGATGGCAGGGGTAGAAGGGAGAGGACGGCCATTCTAAAGTAAGAGGGTCATGAACACCTGAGGCGGACACTCTCTTGGGAGGGACAAGCCCAGCACCTTGGAATAAAAAAGGAAGGGAGTTGGGGCCAAAGAAGCCTCTCCAGGACCGTGTGATTCTCAGACGGAGGGCTAGATGTCCAGCTGGGGGTGGTAGCCGAGGAAGAGATGGAGCAGCTTCTCTGAGGAGGGGACAGTGGAATCTCCAGTCGCTGTGGCCCAGTGACCGCAGATGCCCTAGGATGGCGTGCATCTAGGCAACTTCATCTAGGCAAGTGAGCCTCCCCATTTTCACTCAGTTGTTTGCTCCCCGGAGAACAAGAGAGACGTGGGGTGGCTGTGCCAGAAAGATCTGGATTAGAATTCCATCTCCGACAATGAATAGCTGACCTGGGATTTAGTAAGCCTCAGTCTCTTCATCGGTGACACGGTCATGACGGCCCTCGTCCTGACATCGTTAGGAGGGTCTATAGCAATCGTCAGCAAGCTATTTGCGAGCTGCAGAGGGCTGCCCTTCGTGCGAGGGCCAGTGTGCCCCCTGCAGCCCTGTCGGGTGGAAAGGCTAGCAGCCCCCCTGCCCTCATCATGAGCAGGGCAGCTGAAGAAGCCCCTCACCCGGCACGGCCCAGCAGAGGGCACCCCTGCCTGGAGCCTCCGTCTCCTCTGAGCCGCGTGCAGATCACAGAATGTCCTTCTCTGAGCAGCGCCGTCCATCGCTTACTCACCAGACCTCCATCTCCATAAGGGCAGAACCCAGGACTTGCCTCTGTCTCCCCGGGTGCAGCACGGAGCCTTACCGAGGGGAAGCATTCGGCAGACATCTAGGCTGGTGATACAAAGGCTCAGGAACCCCAGACAACCTCATTCACCCTTTTTTTTTTTTTATCCTCTCAGGTGGATTCTTACGACGTGACAGTGGATGAAGAACTGGGTGACATCCAGCTGGTCAAAATCGAGAAGCGCAAGTACTGGCTCCATGATGACTGGTACCTGAAGTACATCACGCTGAAGACGCCCTGCGGGGATTACATCGAGTTCCCTTGCTACCGCTGGATTACTGGCGAGGGCGAGATTGTCCTGAGAGATGGACGCGGTGAGTGGCCCAGCCCCCTTCCACTTCCTGAGCTTCCCAGGAACTCCTTCCTCAAAGGACTGTTTTCGTAGGAATAATGATACCGCCGCTGTGTGCCTCCGTGTACCTGCGGAGGTGCGACCTTCCTCAGGGTGCTAATAAGCCCCGTGCTAAGAAGGTGCAGGGAGAGGCCCCCGGCCACATGCTCAGCAGTGTCCTCCCTCTGGGCTACAGTCCTTCGGGGGCAAGCTTATGACCCCCTTTTTGTCAGAGGGTAACTACAGTCCCAGTAACAAATACCTGTGGGACGTCCCCCTAGAGGGGCCGCTCTCCAGGTAAGTTCTCCAGTCCTCCTCTCTGTGAGGTCACAGTGGGGCACAGGTTCCAGGGCAACACGCACGGGCCTGGGAAGGGAAGAGGTTGACCAGGCGTGCCCCAAGTGGCAGCCTAGGGGGGCCATGGCCAGGCCTGGTGGTCATGGTCACCAGTTGTTAAACCTAAAGTCCCACATTTTGCTAAAAAGAGAAAAGTACCTAAAGTCGGCCCTCTTAAGCAAGACCCTCGAACATGCCAATCTGGCACTTCCTCGGGAGACCACTCCCCATAAGAGACGGGCAGCTGGCCTGGTGTGGAGGAGCAGAGAGAGGAACGGATGGCAGAAGTCAGCTGAGGCCACTCTGTCCCTCCGAATGGCTCCCCGTTGTGCACTAACCTGTAAGCGTGTGGGAGTCAAATCCATGCCTCGGCAAAGTTCTATCTGACTTCACGTTGTGGCCCTTCAGTTTGTTCACACTTTAAACCCAGAACAAGATGTCTCCAAAGCTGTGCACCACTAGAAAAGTGAGGGGGAACACAGGTGCAGTGACTTCCCCTTCACAGAGGTCCGGCAGGGTAGGCAAAATGGAAGTGATGATTAACCCCATTTTTTAGCTAAGAAAATCAAGACAGAGGAGGAAAAAGTTCTCTACCTAGTGTTCTTAAACTGCCAGGCCATGTCCCTTTCTTTCTTTCTTTCTTTCTTTCTTTCTTTCTTTCTTTCTTTCTTTCTTTCTTTCTCTCTTTCTTTCTTTCAGAGAGAGAGAGAGAGTGAGCAGGGGAGCGGGGCAGAGGGGGAGAGAGAATTTTAAACAGACTCCATGCTCAGTGTGGAGACCAACACAGGGCTCGATCCCACCACGCTGGGATCATGACCTCAGCCAAAATCAAGAGTCGGACGCTCAACCAACTGAGTTACCCAGGCGCCCCCTCCCATTGTTTCTGACATGGAATTTAAGAAACCAATTTCCAAAAATATTTCTGAATGGAATGATTGGAGCTAGAAAGATTTTTGTTCCCTGACCTCACAGAAAAAAAAAAAAAATCACCAAATTCACTCTGTCTTGTGGCCAGAATGTGAACAGTTGTGGACAGGGCACTTCTCTTTCTCTAGTATCAGAAAAACACTAGCTCCAAGTCTCTCCCCTGCCCCTCCCACTAGGGGTCTTGGTTGTGCAGTCCTTCTCCTCACAGACCCCACATCCCTTTCTAGCAAAAAATTGAATGGCACATTCAAATGAGGATGTTTAGAAAAGTATAGGCTAGGAGGCCTGGGTGGCTCAGTCGGTTAAGCATCTGGCTCTTGACTTCAGCTCAGGTCATGATGTCACAATTTGTGGGTTCAAGCCCCACA